TTTTAGATTCCCCTTGGGAGCGAATTGGTATGGCTGAGTGACTCTGGGATTCATTTTGCTTGATGATGCATAGTGCTTTCTACTAACTTGTTTTATACCTAAAGATCTTCTAACACTTTAGAAGAAATCCTTAAAATAGACGAAGCCAAATAAAAAAATAATATATAAGAAACCTACTCTCAATCTGGAACCCTAAACCCGAAAAGCCTGTCCTTTTGAAGGATTAGTATCCCTAAGGCACCCAAACCCTAAAGCCTAAAAAGCGCGAGCCCCACACCCCATAGTAAATCCCGATAACTCGGTTGTCGGCCTCAAGCGGGCACTCCTGGGACTCTCCTGAAGGCTCCTGGCAAACAGAGTTGCATTATTATAGGGTGCTAGCCTTGAATGGTTGAAGTCCTTTGCATCCGATGTCGTAGCCGGGGCAGACTCCTGGAGATCAGATTCACAGGATTATTGAATCAATCAAGAACGAAGAACCCCACAGTCCTTTGCATCCGATGTCGTAGCCGGGGCAGACTCCTGGAGATCAGATTCACAGGATTATTGAATCAATCAAGAAGGAAGAACCCCACAGTCCTTTGCATTCGATCTCGTAGAAGGGCAAGACTCCTGAACATGAATTTCCAAAGAAGTCTTGCATTGAACCCATCAAGACTATCCCCAAAAGTCCTTAGCACCCGATGTCGTAGGCAGGGAAGCCTCCTGGGAATGACGTTCGAAAGAAGTCATCAAAAAGCAAGAGCGGCCCGGTGGGTCCTTGGTATCCGTAGCCTTGCCGGGCTCCTGGGAATCCGAATCTACATGGTCGAACAAAACCCACAAGCTCTCTAAAACCCTTACACACCCCGGGTCTTAAGCTAAGCTTTAGGGTTTTCCAGGGTTGGGGGTGAATGACCAAGGTATTCCCTCACTCGCAGCTGCTGCAAAACCCGCCTCCTCATCATCTTCCTGACCTTCGCCCTGAGCCGGGGATAGGCTAGCAGCTTCGAGAGCAAGCTAAAAACATGTCATGTGGCCTCGGAATCTTCACCAGTCGCATTGACAGCAAGGCCCTGCAAAGAAGAACAATCCTAAGAACATGCAACAACCAACCCTTGGAATTCGCACCTCGTCGCTGTCACCGGCCTCGACTTCTTTCGAGACCTGCTCGTAGGGTTTTCGTTTCTGGATTGGATCACTTATAAAATAACAATCAAGCCTCGAAACCCGGCAAGGTAACGATCAAATCCTTCAGGGCCTGTATCTCGGGTAGCCTCCCAAGGCAGGATCGGGATTAGGGTTTCGGGTTTAGGGTTAATTAGGCACTGCTACACCCCAAGCCTGGCATTCCTTGTCTTTCTCGTGAGGCGGATAGCATACATGACCAAGGAGCGGCATCGCCCTCCTTCCAAGTTCGCCCAGTCCTGGCTGGAAAAAGGCGAATCCCCTAAACCCGAAATCCTTAACCCTAAACCCTAAACCCTCGAAGCCCTAAAACCCTAAACCCTAAAACCTAAACCCTAAACCCCAAACCCTAAACCCTAAACCCTAAACCCTGAACCCTAAACCTTTACTTAAATACAAGCGATCTAATTCTGTCTAGTCTCTGACACCATCCTCTTGCTGGGCTTCTTTTTCAAAGACTTCTTCCCAGAAATCGGCGCTGTGTAGAGCCCCCTCTGCTCGTTCAAAAGGAGGAAAGCCATCTGTCACAGCATTTTTGCAAATGGAACTATTATAACCTCAAGAAGGCCTCGAAGGTCTTCGGGTAGGGAATGGCGAGGCCGTACTTTCCCAAGAGGTGCAGGCAAAGTCTGAAGTTCATACACACCTCGTTTGATTCGAATCCCAATCACTGATGTTGACACCTGTTTGAATGCATCAGCTTCGACTGCAATGTGCTAAGCCAATGACATCAACTTCGTACACCGCCCCACAGCAGATGCTGTTCTCCGTCAACTGTACGATCTGGCTGTCCTGATAGGTACACAACCAGAAAATGTGCTATCCTGGAATGCGAAAACTGAAATCCCCTCCTCGTCTTCACGAACAGCTGCCCAATCAACTTCCATCTCAGCGAAGACATTCTCCAGCACGATGTACAAGTCTCTGGCCTGCTGGGCCTGCCGGAAGTAGTGAAAAGCTTAGATCAAGCCTAACCCGAAAAATCTCGCCTGCAAAAGCTTCGGCGCCGCACCCTCCATGGAGGACACCCTAGAGGCCCTATAGAGCTCGCTGCTCAGAGCACAAAAACTTCTCGGCAAGTGCTCTTAGCAATGGCCCCAGCTGCACAAATGAGAAAGGATCCAGCAGCAAAGCAACCTTTCCACCCCCTCCCGTCTAATTAAAACCAAGCTTTGAGCTGGGAAGCCCTTTTCTCCCGACCGATGCCCCAAACTTTATGAAACCAAATCCTTATGTAGCCTAAACCCCAAACATAATTTTAAATCAGCCCTAAACCCTAAACCCCAAACATAATTTTAAATCAGCCCTAAACCCTCTAAGTTTCAGAAATCAAGAACCCGGAACCCGGCGGGGGATGGCAGCACCTGATGACTTCCGTTTGCCAGACCGCAGAGCTCTCTTCATCGGCCATGCAATGGATGTTTCGGATTTAGGGTTTAGAGGTTTAGGGTTTTCGGGGATAGGGCTTTAAGGGAATTTAGGAGTTGTGGAGGGTTTAGAGATTTAGGGTTTTCGGGGATCGGGCTTTAAAGGAATACAGGAGTTGTGGAGGGTGTAGAGGTGTAGGGTTTTCGGGGATCGGGCTTTAAAGGAATACAGGGGTTGTGGAGGGTTTAGAGGTGTAGGGTTTTCGGGGATCGAGCTTGAATATAGGATGTGAGGGTTTTAATGCAAGTCGGCTAAAGCCAAGCTTTGAAAAGGTCTACGACACAAAAGCGCCAAAACCTCACATAAACCATACATACTTATAATAATAATATATACTACTACATACTACTACCATACTACTACTACTATTATATAATTCTACTACTACCACAAGTACTACATAATATAAATGTCATGTTGAGCTACCGAAACAGATGTCCATGTGTCCATAAACCCATATATAAACCGAGACCTCACGACAGAAGGACTTGATTACCTATAACCCCCGATCCCCTAACTTTCGTCCAAACCCACTATATAAGAGGCCTTTGGAGCCTCAGGGTAAGCCTTATAAACCCAAAACCTGAACCCTATGAACCCTAAACCCTATGAACCCTAGAAACCCTAAAACATCCTATAAGCCCTACCAGCCCTCAACCCCACGTGTGGCGCTTTTACTTGAGGCTTGCAGCGTTTTGCTCTTACTCCCCTAACCTCGAACCCTAAACCCGAAAGCCTGAACCCTGAACCCGAAACCCCGAACCCGAGACCCTAAACCCTGAACCCTAAACCCTAAATCCTAAACACTCTTTATCATATGTATTTAAACAGTACTCACCTGCATTGGAATTGCTCACTTTCGGGCCAAATCTTGAGCAATTACAACGAATGATCAGTGATCTGTCGACGGAATCTTCATTCCGCTGACTTTTGGCTAATTCCAACGACTGATCAGTGATTTGTCGACGAAATCTTCATTCCGTTCGATGGAATTGCTCACTTTTGTCCAATTTTGAGCAATTCCAACGAATGATCAGTGACTTGTCGATGACATCTTCATTCCGTTCGTTGAAATTGCTCAGTTTTGAGCAATTCCGGAGAAATCGCTATTCTGTGAATTGCAATTGCTCACTTTCGAGCAATTCCAAGGAATGAACGAACTTTTGACTTTCCAATGTTGTGGGATTCAGGGGTGGGTGGGTGTTGCGTCTGGGCCGTGTGCCAACTTTACTATAAAGCTGCTCGATCCGGAGCTGCTGAACCTTAAACCTTGAACCCCAAAGCCTGAACCCTAAACCCGAAACCCGACACCCTGAACCCGAAACCCTGAACCCTAAACCCTGAACCCGACACCCGACACCCTGAACCCTAAACCCTAAACCCTAAACCCGACACCCTGAACCCTGAACCCTAAACCCTAAACCCTAAACCCGACACCCTGAACCCTAAACCCCCTGAACCCTAAACCCTAAACCCTGAACCCTAAGCGCTAAAGCTGGCGCCTTGGTTTTTGGATGCCTGCAGGGCCTCCTGGACCTGGGAACACCGCTGCTGCAGCCTGGGTTCGTGCTAGGGATCTTGGGTTTAGGGTATATAGGGTTTAGGGTTTCGGGTTTATAGGATTTAGGGCTTCTAGGGTTTATATAGGGCCTAAAAAAAAGGTTTAGGGCTGATGGAGTTACCGCTTACAGGGCTTATAGGGCTTGTAGGGCTTATAGGGCTTATAGGAGTTAGGGCTCATAAGGCTTATAGGTTTATTGCTTATCGGGCTTATAGGGTTTAGGGGTTATAAGGCGCATAGGGTTTAGGGCTTTTAGGGCTTCTAGGGTTTAGGGGTTTTGGGTTTATTGTTATGACGCATTATAGGGGTCCAGTTTGGAGGTTGCAGGGCTTCGGGTCTGAACACCCTCGTCTATCAGATACCACACCAGGGATAGACATGCTTAGACATGGCTTTCACATACGGCATTTGGAATCAAACTCCTTCTCAGGAAGCCGTAAAAAATCCAATAAATCCCCAAACCCCAAAACCCTAAACTCTAAACCCAAAAACCCAAAACCGCGACTTGCCTCTGCGAACCCCATAAAATCTCAGCGCCTCAGCAGGAGCCGAGCAGCACAGGCAGGGGCGGAAACTTCTTCCTCGAACGGGCGGCCGCAGACAGGGCCTCCTCCAGAGAAGGGGCCTCCGTGCCTCACTGGGGTTTGGGTTTAGGGCTCAGGGTTCAGGGTTTAGGGTTTGGAGTTTTAAGGTTTTGGTTATTGGTTTAGGGTTTGGGTTCAGGGTTTGGGGTTTTGGCATTTAGGGTTCAGGGTTTAGGGTTTTGGGTTTTGCGTTTTGGGTTTAGGGTGTAGGGCTTTGTGCTTTGGTTTAGGGTTTAGGGTTCAGGGTTTTGGGTTTAGGGTTTAGGGTTTTGTGTTTTGGGCTTTGGTTTAGGGTTTAGGGTTCAGAGTTGTGGGTTTAGGGTTTGGGGGTTTAGGGTTTAGGTTTTAGGGTTTAGGGTTTTGGGTGTTGGCTTAGGCTTTAGGGTTCAGTGTTTAGG